TCTCATTCATCCACATACCTTACATCAAAGAGCCAAAGATAATGTTTAAGGTCAACTACACCTTGGCTTTCTCTATCACATTTATTTAAATGTGATGATTTAATAAGGTTGCAAGGAAAAAAAGACAAATGAAAGGCCTCAACTTTAATTATTTAAAAAAACCCTCTCCTTCTGAGTTAATCTTCTTTTACTCATTTGATAGGAAGAATTTTATTATTGGCGTCTTTAAAGACTCGCTTTATAATTTTATTGGTGACCTCTTTAAAGACTCACTTTATAAGAATCTAACTCTCAAAGCTGAGACTGTCTTTTAGATGCATCCTATTCCACAGGCCTATTCTTTTACAGACTAGGAAAGTTTTTAGAAAGTCTTTGATTCTTCCTGTGGAGTCAGCACGATTGATTCATAAGTTACAGAGTATTTCCACAATGTCTACTTATCAGTTTCACAGGGCAAATAATATTGATTGTTTTACCACCAAATGTGGCAAAATATTAATTTTCTGCCATTATAGTGTTAACAGAATGTAGAATACAACCATAGCAATTAATGCATCTAAATCCATTTAATTTAATAGACTACTTCGTACCATTAGCATCTTTCTTTACTAAATCTTTCTTCTGAATGAATGGAGATTGTTTTATTTTCAAAATGTCCTTATTTTTCTAATTTTCTCAGTTCAGTTTCTTCAAGTAGTAAGTTTAATATGGTCTATGCCTTAAAAACAATTGCATTAACTCTTTTATACAAAGCCATCTATGTAGAATATATCATTTTTAGAAAATTACTTGTGCCTTTCCAGAAAGAGACAGTTTTGGCTTTCTATTCTCTTGCCAAGTGGTGACTATGTTTTATACTTACTCTAACTAGTCATTAGCAGTTTATCTCCTAATAAGAATGAAAAGGTAATTTTCTGCTGGTACATTTTTCTTTAAGTTAGACTGGATTCATTCTTAAAGGAGCACAAAAGCAAACACACAGACCTCTCATTCTGATTTTAAATAATTTAGAGTGGAACTGTGAACACAATATTTTCCCCATTGAAGATCATTTTATACTGAAGTTTAATATAGGTTTTAAAATTTCTATTTAAAACTTGGGCTCAGAAGGGTGATGGTAAAGTGTGACATTCTCAAGCTGTTTCCTGGTGATGAAAAATGCATGAGAACATAACCCACACAGGACTAGTCAGGCGACTTTGAATGTAATTTTCCATTAAATTTTACTTGATTTAACTCAACACATGGTTTGTATCTTACAAATTTCTTGAATAAAAAAATAAGTGGTCCTAAATGAATGTAATACTTAAAGAGCTCATCATTGTAATCATAGTTTAAATTACATGGAACTGAGTTAAATTCCTAGAAAAACAGCTTATACCCTCCCTTCCTTTCTTTTTTTCCTTCCTTTCCTTTCTATATTAATTTTTGAACTAGCTTTGTCCTTCATATATATATGTATGTATATATAGAGAGAGAGAATTATGGGCTGAATGGTGTTCCCTTAAAATTCCCATCTTGAAGTCCCAGCCCCCAGTACCTCAAAACGTAACCGTATTTGAAGATACGGTTTTTTTTTTTTAAAGAGGTGACTAAATTAAAATTAGGTCATTAAGTATGACCCTATATAATATGACTGGTATCCTTATAAGTAGTGTAGAGACACCAGGGATCCAGTCAGCCAGAGGGAAGGCCATGTGAGGGCACATGAGAAGGTGGCCATCTGCAAGCCAAGGAGAGAGGACTCAGGAGAAGCAAACTTGCCAAAACCTTGATCTTGGACTTCTAGCTTCCAGAACTGTGAAAAAAAAATTTTTGTTGTTGTTGAAGTCACCCAGTCTGTGTTTGGTTATGACACTTTTAGCAAACCATACATATGTATAAAATAAACCCTTGTTATTTGGTTAAGATATTTTCTTTAAACACTGTTAATTTGTGTTGGTAGTTTTGTTTCCCCATACTGAGTGCTAGCAAAATTTGTGCTGCTACTTTTGTTTTCTCATACTGAGTGCTAAATGGGAGCAGATTACTTAGATGGCTTTGCTTTAAGGAAAAATATTTAATTGAAATTCAGTGTATGGTCTTGGGCAAATTGGTATTTCTGGGAGGTTTTCATTTTTATACATTTATATTAGAGTAGATGATGCCGACAGTGTTATGTAGCTCTGGGAGCTCTGATTTTGTGAAGGCAGGAATTCTATTTTTGGTCTATATTTCATTATAAAATTAGTAATCATGGAGCTTGAGGAGGAATTGACCCCACATTGAATGCTTGGTCAGGAAATGGGTTACTATGGTGTCCAGCTGTGGCAGATTGAGTACTTGACCTTAGAAGCTTTCTTGCAGCAAGCACTTACTAATTTTCCAGCAGTTCTGTCAGCATTTGACACAGTCATTCTTCCTTTGAAGGGGCCACTGTCTAGAGCAGGCGTCCCCAAACTATGGCCCGCGGGCCGCATGTGGCCCCCTGAGGCCATTTATCCGGCTCCCCACCGCACGTCAGGAAGGGGCACCTCTTTCATTGGTGGTCAGTGAGAGGAGCACAGTATGTGGCGGCCCTCCAACGGTCTGAGGGACAGTGAACTGGCCCCCTGTGTAAAAAGTTTGGGGACGCCTGGTCTAGGGATAGGCTGGATTAGTAGTTGTGACTCTCAGATATGAACTTGTTTGCTTATTTTTTTCTTAATATTAATGATGAGCAATAGAAGTTGCCTGATAATACCTCCTCAGTCTGTGTTGCTTTAGGCTATCATGTGCTATGTGTATCTGTAAAGATCAGACTTTAGATTTTGCAAAAATTTATTTAGTTCCACACATGAATTAAGTTCTTTTTCATTACACAGAATGAGGAAGCAATCTCATGGAAGTTTATGTGTAGTGGGTTGACTTCAACCATTGAGCCTTTAGAATATTTACAGGTGAATTGGGTTAGTAGAAAATTTGACTATGTACCTGTTTTCTACAATCTCTGTGGCATTAATTTAATATTTATGTTTAAAATTCTTCTTACCTTTGGAGTGTCAACTTGCCTTCCAAGGTTTTAGATTCTCTGCCCACTGAATTTTATCCTTCTTTTTCAGGATATTGCTTTTCCTAAAATGCTTTGTGATGTTTGGTTGTATTTGTATTTGAGAATCACTGTCAGTTTATTTTATTTTCTGTAAATTGTCTCTACTGATTGTGTAAAAGAGATTACAGCCTGGGGGTTAGGAGACATTGCTTTTTCTCTGAATATTGACTACTTGAGTCCTTACTCTGCTCAGATATTGCATTCTAAGCCGTCTCCTGTGCAGATGCCTCTGCAGCTTGCTTGGGAGAACACTGCAGTCTCAACTGTTTATGTGTTGATTAGTCTCATGTTCACCTAGAGGTTCTTGCTTCTTTTATTGAATAGTCTTCTCCTCCTTTTATTGAATAATCAGCCTTTTCTCTTAAGTTTTGATTTTAGTTACTGTCTTTCAGAATTCTTCAAATTTCTGATTAGATATTGGCACTCTTTTTTGTTTTCTGTTTCTAATTCTGATTTATTATTTTTGAAAATTAACTTTTCAGTCACAATGGGGTATTTTGGGTAGGAAGGAGGTAAGAAATGTTCAACTGGCCACATAAAATCTGTAAAAATAGTGTGAGTCAGAATCACTGCCCACATGTTGTGTGTTTTTGGTAAGTGGTACAAGAGTATACTCAAAAGTAGTGTTCAAGCCCAACTTCTAGAATACAAGTTCTAAACTTCTAAAGTTGGTTATTTATGAAGTACCACAAATATCAGAAACTTTTTATGAGTTATATATATATATATTTATATATATATTTATATTTATATTGGATAAGATAATCTAATAAGATAGTTTTCATTTCTTATGTAATTATCATTTTCTAATATGCTTTGATATTACCCTTTTAAATAATAGCAACAGTATAATAGTATATCATTTCTTATTGAAATAGAAAGTGAATGCTTCTCTACCATAGAGGATGACACTCCCCTTTTGTTGCTCCACAGTTGAAGTTGGGGTGGGAGTTGAGCACAGCAATTTTTTAGTCCTGATGGGATGTGACCTGTCTTAAGGAAGAGTTATTTTGTGGTGGCTGTACCTTAAGGATTGATTTATGTATACACAAAATAGTTCCATTTTGTATTAATTAGTGATAGCTGAGTGGTACATCTTCTGATTATCTGTTGGAATTATCACTAAAAAGTATCAGAGGAGTAAAAGGTAAAAACTATTCTAAACTTATGGGATGTACAAAAACAGGTGGTTGGCTGGATTTGACCCATGGGCCACAGTTTGCCAGCTCCTAATTTAGAAGATTATATAATAAATAACATATAAAGTGTTCCTGATTTATTGAATAAAAAGGGGAGGGGCAGGTTAAAAAACAGTAGATACAGTGCAATTTCATTCATGTAAAAAAGCAATCATCAGCTTACAGATAGCACTGGAAAAACGGATATCAAAATGTTAACAGTGGTTCCCTGATTAGATTATGGGAATAATTTCATCCTACATTGTGTTTATTTACATTTTTTTTTTTTTAGTTTTGTACCCTGTGTATTCTGTTGTTTTGAAAAATAAATATAAGCCAGGTGCAGTGGCTCATACCTTGTAACCCCAGCACTTTGGGAGGCCGAGGAGGGCAGATCATGAGTTCAGAAGATGGAGACCATCCTAGCCAACATGATGAAACACCATCTGTACTAAAAATACAAACATTAACTGGACATGGGTGGTGCATGCCTTCAATCCCAGCTACTTGGGAGGCTGAGTCAGGAGAATAGCTTGAACTTGGGAGGCGGAGGTTGGAGTGAGCTGAGATAGTGTCACTGCATTCTAACCTAGTGACAGAACGAGTCTCTGTCTTAAAAAAATAAAAATATGCCAGAAAAAATAGTTATTTAAAAAGTGAGAGAGAATCTGTACATTATCAGCAAAATCAGGATATTTGTTGTTAATTAATTTGATGCAATATGTCTTGTTTACTTTGTGCTTCATTTTTAGCCAACAAGTCCCAAATTTGGAAAAGCTGACTCATACGAAAAACTGGAAAAACTAGGGGAAGGATCTTATGCTACAGTATACAAAGGGAAAAGCAAGTAAGTTAATTATTTTTGGAATATTTCACATGTGCAGTGTTTCTGCTCTCTTATTATTAAATAGCACTTTATTTAAATAATTCTTACTTAATATACAATAGATTTCCCTCCCTCGGGGTGTTTTTTATTTTTATTTTTGGCAAGTGTGTAAAACTCATTGGAATTGGTATATGCTGCTAGTAAACAGTTTTTCAGACTGTTCAATTTATTTTTCTGTTTAACACTCCTCCCCACAACATTGTTTTCTCTTTCTTTCAAGGGAGTTGGAACTCTCTAAGGAGAATTCATTTCCAGGTGAATTATGTGATTAATTTCTCATAGAGATTTAGTGTTGACAATAGGAATATTTGTTTGACAAAGCCAAACATATTGGCCATTCTTGGGGTCTTTTTAAATTAAGCTTTTACTCCATCTTTCAGAAATTTCTTAGTTAAGAAAAAAAGAACGGCAAACTTTTCTTTTTCTTTCTTCCTGTCTGCTTTGGCATTATGCTGTGTGTATTTTCACATAGAGAAATAACTCTCTCCTACTTTCCTTCTTTCTCTCCATTACTATCCAGGGGTCACGGTGCAGATTTTGATTCTTAAACAGCTTGTGCTCCTGTGTTTCTGATGGACCTCCTTCCTCTCCCTTATTGATCAAGGACAGAGAGATATTGTATTTAATGGCATGTAATAACTTATCTAAGTTGTAGATAACTTAATGCTATCTCTGCAATAACCACAGAAGTCACAAGCTTTGTTTTACCTTTATAACTTTACCAAACGATGTTGCAAAATAATTTTCTATGCCATCCCTGTTGTTATCTCTTTTTAAAATCTTTATAGAGGATAGAACTTTTTTTTCTTTCTTTTTCTCCCCCTGCAACAGCATTTGGCCTTGTTGCCCAGACTGGAGTATAGTGGCTTGATAACAGCTCATTGCAGCCTCAACCTCCTGGGCTCAAACAGTTCTGCCTCAGCCTCCTGAGTAGCTGGGACTACAAGCACATGCCATCATGTCTGACTATGTAAAAAAAAAATTTTAGAAACGAAATTTCTTTGTGTTGTCCAGGCTGGTCTTAAACACCTGGGCTTAAGTCATTATTCTCTGGCCTCGGCCACCCAACGTGTTGTGATTACAGGTGTGAGCCACTGCACCAAACCTGGTTAGGACATTGTAACCTAAGTAATTAAATAAGAAGATGTAGAAGAGAAAAATTCTCTGAAGGATCATTCTAAAGACATAGTTGGAAATTTTGATTATGTGCTAATTTAGGTGATCTTAGGATTTTCAGAAGTGTGGTCTTAAACCTGTTTGTTCGTATTTCTTAAGTTTAGAAGATAAAGATGTATTTTTTATAAAGAAAGATGTGTAATGCAAAATACCATTAAGACAAAAGTCGTAGTATTAATTTTGAAAGTTGTAAAAAAAAGTTTGCAAAAATGGTGCAGAGAGCCCTCTCCATTCCACACCCAGGCAAATCTCCGGGCATTTGGAGCACCTGCTTGCCTGGTTTTGCATCCTGAGCTGTCCCACCCCTCCTGTCCAGAGGTTCTGATGTAGCAGAGCCCTCTTCACTCCATGCCCAGGCAGATCTCTAAGCATTCAAAGCACCTGCTCACCTCGCCTGGATTGGCATCCTCAGTTGCCCCACCCTTCCTGTGCAGGCATCCAGGTACAGGAGGGGCTCTTTCTGCTTCATATTCAGGCAGATTGCCAGACAGTTAAGAGTACCTGGTCACCTGGTTTAGCATCTGGAGTCACTCACTCTTCCTGTACAGAGACCATGGTGCAGCTGGGCCTTCTCTGCATTACACCCAGGCAGATGTCCAGGCATTTGGAGCACTGGTTCACCTGGAATGTCAGCCTAAGCTGCCTCAGCCTTTCTACACAATAACTCTGGTGTGGCAGGGTCCTCTCTGCTCCATGCCAGGCAAATCTCCAGAGATCTGGAACACTTAAACTCCTGGATTAGAAGTTTAGGCTGCCACCACTTCCTGTGCAGAGACTTGGGGCTGAGGATGTTTCCCAACTTCATGCTTAGGCACACCTCTGAGTGCTTGGTGGCTTTCCACTGGATTCTCCCTCAGTGCTGGTGCTTCTGCCTGCCATCAGGGAATGACAATCTTGCCTCCCGCCCTCCAGGACTGAGAAAGGAACTCAGAACACTGTGGACTCAACAGACCAGCCTATTGCCTAATACAACAGAGAAAATCTCCCCATAAATAAGGATCAAGTATATATCCAGCCACATCGGCTGTAGTAGGCTCTTATTCATAAGTGCCATCTACTGGCTATAGGTCCAGCCAAACAGCCTTATATAAAAGCTGCTGATGGAAGTGCAGAGGACTATAGTCCAAAAGATCTTTGCAAAGCCAAAAGATCCTACCCAGCATTCTCTGCAGTCACAACACATAGGGAGTTGGGAGAAGGGAAAGGGAAAGAAAAAAATCCCAATAATATTACAGAGAAAGAAAGAAAAAGAAAAAATCCAGTCTGTACAAAAATAATTACAAAAATTATAGAACCAATGTCTCCAGATAAGAAGGAACCAGCGCAAGAATTCTGTTATCATGAAAAATCTGAATGTTATGACACCATTGAAGGATTACACTAACTCTCCAGCAATAATTCCTGACCAAAATGGAAACTCAGAAATGACAGATAAAAAATTCAAAGCATGGATTACAAGGAAGTTCAGTGAGATCCAAGATATGATTGAAAATCTACACAAAGAAACTTTTAAATCAATCCAGGAAATGAAGGAAGAGATAAGCATCTTAAAAGGAAATCAGTCAGAGCCTTTGGAATTGAAAAGCTCTCTTAAGGAATTTACATACAGTTGAGGCTGGGTGTGGTGGCTCATGCCTGTAATCCCAGCACTTTGGGAGACCAAGGCAGGCGGATCATCTGAGGTCAGGAGTTCAAGACCAGCCTGGGCAACATGATGAAACCCTGTCTCTACTAAAAATATAAAAATTAGCTGGGTGTGGTGGTGCATGCCTGTAATCTCAGCTACTCCAGAGGCTGAGGCATGAGAATCACTTGAACCAGGGAGGCAGAGGTTGCAGTGAGCTGACATCATACCACTGCACTCCAGCCTGGGCAACAGAGTAAAACTCTGTCTCCAAAAAAGCAAAACAAAACAAAACAGTTGAAAGCTTTATCAATAGCTTAGACCAAGCAGAAGAAATAATTTCAGAGCTTGAAGACCAATCTAAGTAACCCAGACAGGCAAAAATAATAAATTTTTTTTTAAATGAGCAAAGTCTTTGAGAAATATGAGTTAATGAAAAGTGATCAAATCTACAAATTATTGGCATCCCTGAGTGAGATGGAGAAAAGGTAAATAACCCGAAAAACATATTTGAGGGAATAATTCCAGAAAAATCTGATCTTGCTAGAGAAGTAGATATCCAGAGTCAGAAAATCTCTAGAACATCTGTGAGATACTGTATAAAATGAACATCACCAAGACATACTCACCAGAATGTCTAAGGTCAATACTGAAGAAAAAATGTTACAGACAGTTAGAGAAAAAAGCAAGATCACATATAAAGGAAACACCGTTAAGCTAACAGCTTGCATCTCAGTAGAAACCTTACAAGCCAGGAGAGTTTTGGAACTGTACTTATTAGGCATATACAGACTACTCCACCTGTTAACCACAGAATATACATTCTTTTCATTTGCATGTAGGACAGACGACCACATGCTCGGTCAAAAAGCAAGTCTCAATTCAAAAAAATAAAATACCATCCATACTCTTAGACCACAGTGGAATAAAAATAGGAATCAATACCAAGAAGATTTCCCCAAACGTCACAATTACGTGGAAATTAAACAACTTACTCCTGAATGATTTTTGGTTAAACAACGAAATTCAAGCAGAAGTCAAAAAATTCTTAGAAATAAATGAAAACAGAGAAACCATACCAAAATCTCTGGGATACAGCAAAAGCAGTGTAAAGAGGAAAGTTTACAGCATTAAATGGCTACCTAAAAAAGTTAGATCCTAAATTAACTTGCATCACATCCAGAGGAACTAGAAAAACAAGAACAACCTAACCCCAAAGCTAGCAGAAGAAAAGACATAACCAAAATCAGAGCAGGACTGACTGGAATTGAAACCTAAAAATCTCTTAAAAAATTAATGAAACCCAAAGTTGGTTCTTTGAAAGAATAAAGATCAATAGAGCACTAACTGATTAACAGAGGAAGAGAGAACATCCAAATTAGCACAATAAAAAATGACAAAGGTGACATTACAACTGATCTCGTCGAAATACAAAAGATTGTCAGAGACCATTAGAAAGAACTCTATGTATACAAGGTAGAAACCTAGAGGAAATAGGTAAATTTCTAGAACACATAATCTCCCAAGATTGAATCAGGAAGAAATGGAAACTCTGAACAGACCAATATCGAGTTCCACAATTGAATTAGTAGTGAAAACCTACCACCACCACCACCACCACCAATAAAAGCCCAGGACTAGATTGATTCATAGCCAAGTTCTACCAGAAGTTCAGAGAAGAGCTGGTACCAATTCTACTGAAACTACTGCAAAAAATTGAGGAGGATGGATACTGCCCTATCATTGAGGATGATGTAGCTAGCATCATCCTGATATGAACAACTGAGAAAGAAACAATGAGAAAAGAAAACTACAAGCCAATATGCCTGACAAAAATAGACACAAAAAGCCTCAACAAAATACCAGCAAACTGAATCCAGCAATGCATCAAAAAGCTAATTCACCACAATCAAGTAGGCTTCATTCCTGGGATTCAAGAATGGTTCAAAATTCACAATCAATACATGTGTTTCACCACACAACAGAATTAAGAACAAAAACCATGTGATCATTTCAATTGGTTTGCTAAAAGCCTTTGATAAAAATCCAGCATCCCTTCATGCTAAAAACCCTCAATAAGCAAGCTAGGCATTGAAGGAACATAGCTCAAAATAATAAGAGCCACCTACAACAAACCCACAGCCAATATCCTACTGAACTG